CCCCGGTGCTCGCCGCCGGTGGATTCCGCGTGGTCTGGCTGCGAGCTTCCCTGCAGCCCCGTGCTTCCCTGAAGCCTCGTGCTGACTGAACCTGACAGCAACAACATCACAATAAAATCCAGAACAAAACCTAAGGCAGACACCCCCAGTCATCTGGAGCCAAAGGCTCCCTACTTACATATCTAAGTAATTTTGAGACTATCAGCGGGGGGTGGGGTTACACCTCATCAGGAGAGTTTGGGGGGGGGCTACTACAGACAAGGACTCCCCCATGCCCCTGGCAAGGAAGGAGTACTTTCAATAGGGTAGATTCAATCTTGACAAGGCATTGCCTTTTTTATTCCAGGGCTGTGTTGTATAACTACCATTTGACCACCATTTTTAACTGGGGCCAGATCCTTACCAGTAACCAAACAGCACCTTTAATACAGATTTATTCTTCCAGGCAGCTGAGTTTGTTCCACCAGCAATCTTGTCATTGTACTTTGTATGAGTTTTAGTTTCACGGTAGTCCAGATGAGTGGTAGTCAGGACATGAGTTACTGATATCAGGGCATCCTGGTCCAAGTAGGATTGCAACTGGTGCACCAGCCAAAGCTGGGCAAAAGCTGCCTGCTCACAAGCCATGAGATCAGAAGGACCTTCAAGTCCTCTGTGGTAACTACAGTTCCTTGGCCCTTCTGAGGAGTCAGCATCAGCTGTTCTCGTTGGGTCACTTCCTATACAGACTTTCCTCAAGGCAAGTTAGCTTTGCAACAGTCATGCATTTCGGATCTGCGATGCTGGATTTCATGCAGCAATTGCTTTGAATATGTACCTATTTGAACATAATGCACACTTGGAACTCTTGTGAGAGAGCAGTCTATTCTGGGTAATATTGGATCTCTTCTCACAAGTAATACTATGGGGCTTTCCCCACTTGCTTCTAACCATGGAGCACCCTGGTAACTTCTTTATTCTGCTGTATGCCCTGACGTTGCCTTCATCCTACCTCCAGGCCATGAGTGAGAGGGGCTTGTCAATCTAAACTGTTATACTTATTGACTATCGCACGATGAGGTCCATCTAATGTTCCAAGCCAGAAACCATGACTTACAAAAAAGAAAAAACAAATAACTAGATTCATTTAACTCATTAAGCCAAAGGATGGGCAACTTTCCTGAATTTGGGACTGCCGCTTACTCCTTAAACCAGTGAAAGACTGTAGGAGACCTTCCCTTTGTGCTGATAGGACTGGAAGGGGGACGATTGAATTGCTGTCTTCCCCCTTGCTTTGGAATGGCTTTAAGTTCCTTCCACTGTCTCTTTCTCAGAGGTCCTCTACTATCCTTCATTCTCCCCTTTCTGAAGGGTCAGGATGAGTGGGCACACTGCCAAGAAAGCATTGGGCTGCAACCACCAATCAGTTTTGTTAGAGTTTTATCCCATCTTTATTTGTGAAAGTGGCCTACATAATACTCTTTCCTATTTTCCCTTACAACAACAACAACAACAACCCCGAAAGGGCTAAAACTCATGTACTCCCTAACCCAACTCCTAACCACTACACCAAACTAGCTCTTAGTACATACTGATAGCTATGGATTCCATATGAGTTCAAGAAGCAGCAGTCTT